TATAGCAATATTCATGCATCAAAAGAAGTCGTATTTAAATAGTCATCGTATAGTTTATTCATTTTTTGATTTTCATGTGCTTGTCTAAAAGTGAATTGTGTACAGAAATTTAACATTGCCTGAAACTTATTGTTTTTTTCATATATAGCAAAAAAAGATCCATTATGTTCACCGCCATGTAAAAAACTAAAACAAGGTAAGATGTATATCTACTTCATTATTACTGGGTTTTTTTCATACAATTTATAGCTGACTGACATTTTATTTGTCCCTGTTCGGACAGAGTCCGAAAACAGGGACTTGTAATTTGATTCCGTCCGGGGTTGTATTTCAGAATCCTTTTGTCGGATTCTGTTCATTCTTTGCATGTACTGAGTACTTTATGTGGGACATATGCACATGCAGTGATTTAGCGATTCGATTCAAAATGGCCAACTGGCAGCCATCTTGTTTTTTGAAAATGTTGTATTTTGGACATGCTTTGTCAGTTTTCATTCAAACTTGGTACATTGATTATACATGTTAGAATACATGTCCATGACCATTTCTTTAACAATTGGATCAAAGATGGCCGACTGGCAGGCATCTTGTTTGTTTGTTTAAATGTGGTATCTTGGACATGCTTTGTCAGTTTCAAATTTGGCACATACTTTATACATGTTAGAATACATGTCCATGACAATTTGTTTCAAAATCGGATCAAGAATGGCCGATTGACAGCCATCTGACTTTTTGGCCTTACTACTAAGATTTATGTACCATTTTCATTCGTATTTGGCACATACATCATAAGAACAAAGATGGCCGAATAACGGCTTTTTTTTTATTTGTGGCCATATCACTATATCTCTGTCACCAATGTATCATTTTCATTGATATTTAGCATGTCATACATGTCAATTCAATTTGCAATTTGTTCATATTTGGCCGACTGGCGGCCATCTTGTTTGTTTAAAATGTGATAATTTGGACATGCTTTCACATGTGATCTAGGTTTTTCTTTGCTATGTCTTAAATCAGAGGGGTCTTCACGCAACACATGTTCGAATTTGATGTAAAATAAACAATCTATTGTGTACGCCACTTGGGACTCAAGTTTCAAGGACAACCCCTCCACTTTAATATGACAAGCATAAAGAAAACTATCATAAATTTAATGGGGATTATGTCATTTTCAATGACTTGTTGATAATTGTCTAGTCTTCTAGAAATTAAGATTAATTTATATAATTCGCATAACATGTCACTGCATAATTATAATAAAAATTGTTATTCGCTTACAAAACTATTATTGCACAAAAACTTTTGGTTTCCAGCAATTTATAAATTCATTCAAAAACTTCAACTACACAAACGTGAATGGTTATTGGTCGAGCGATGAGAACTGCAACTATGTGGTGACAAGTTATAGGTAGAGGCAGTGGGAACTGCAACTACAGAAATAATGACAGCATGGTTGTACCTGGCTGGTGGTAGACCACAACTACGCATGAATGGTTACTGAAATGTTAGTAATAAAAACACTCGAAAAATGAAAAATACACTTAGCCCCTTTTGGTATTTATCTTGGGGAATAAATGAGCCCAAATGATGTGATATAAAATATCACAGAAAATCATGTTCAAATACTTGTGGGCTCCTCAGTTTAAAAATGGTAGGCAAGGATGATTTCATAATAGATAATTTCTTTTTCACTGTGAGATCCTGTATCATACATGAAATCAAAGATCAAAACAGGAAAACCTATATAGCACTGTAGTAATGTCAAACAATCAATCTCCAATTAAGAGTGGTATTCTGTCTATAATTATGCTAATTCAGTGCTTTCTTATTTATTGTAGCTCGTCTTCCTTTCAAACCCCTTGATGCCAAATCACCAACACCTAGTAACAAACAGTGCAAAAAGCGAAAACTATCGGGTAGCGATAAATCTATGCAATCCCCCAAAAATGCCAAATTAAGTACTGAAGCAACTCCAAGTATTGTCACGGAACACAAGAGTATTAATGACAGACTAGCAGCTTTCAAATATCAGGGACCAGCAGATGGTGAAAATGAAGTATCTTCTAGCTCAGAATCGGAGAAACTGAAGAGTGCTGGTAAAGCAGTCGACAAACAAAAAGGTCATAAACTAACGTTAGATGCCTTTGTTCAGAGACCTCAACAGTCTCAGGTTTCTACTTCTGATGGGTTAGAAACAATTGAACTTAATGATTCGGATGAAGATGATTCAGGGAGGACTAGTGTTAAAATTCAGTTTGTTGTCGATAATGATAAAGAGCATGCCAGTGAACATATTGATGCAAGTATTGAAGCTGTCATCTCAAAAGCAAGAAAATCAGTAGATTCCATTTCAAGCCAGGATGGTGACTCGGAAATGGATGTCAGCCAAGAAAAGGTTTCACATGATGACAGTTTAGTTCTGATTTATAGTACAGAGAGTACTGATAGCGAAGAAGATGAAAAGGATGTTAAAGATAATTTGACAAGTCCAAAAGTGATGAATCATAAAAATCAAGTTAACTCGACACCAAAGAACATGATAATGTCATCTAAAAAGGTAAAAACTGTATCACACATCATTAACAGTAATACAGAGCTTAACCTTTTCAACACCAGACTTGCCCACATTTTTCAGAATTGTTTTCTTATATTCTTCAATATTTCTGGAATGAACTTTAATTTTGGAGCCAACAGACAAAATTTGAATAAATTTTTCAGTTTTTACTTGAAAAATTTGGTCATTTTTGTTCCAATCTTCTGAAGGAAAATGCATAAACTGGACTATTTTGTGAATTTGTTATGAAAAGAGTGACCTGTTGATAAAAAGGTGAAAAACACAACTGCCCTATATAATAAGCAAATTCTCTGTGTGCGTAAGCAAGATAACCCCTATGGATTTGGGGTCCCTTTGCTAAATATACTGACATCCCTAAACATTCTACGATATTCATAACATATAAAAACAATTTTGTATTGCTCTCTGGGTCAAGATTGACATTCCACATCATCAATAGTGATTTGGCAACCCCGGTGTCATCAGTAGATCATAGGTTCATGTAAAATTATAGGAATTGGCATGATTTTTATGACCAACAATATTTTACTGCTTTCTTTTTTAATCTCAGACTCCATTACGAGCTAAATCCTTACAGAAATCAGCAGAGAAAGATAGGATAAAAGAGGAAAAAGTAAGTAGTAGAATATTTTCTTGATCTAAACTTAAACATTCTTTGACTTTAACTTGCATTTGGTCGACACAAATACAAAACAGTTTACATATGCCGGTTAGTTTTTGTGATTTACTGTATTGTAACTGCTGACTATTTTGCCTGAATCCTAAATGGCCACTCATTCTATATGTGTAATGTACATGTACTATCTATAGGCAAAAGAACGGTTAGAACAACTAAGAATCAAAGAACAAGAAAAAGCTGAAAAGCAGAGACTAAAAGAAGAAATCAAGAGAGCGAAAGAAAAGGAGCGTGAAGAAACCAGGAAGCAGAAACAAATTGAAAAAGAGAAGAAAGAACAGGAAAAAAGAGAGAAAAAAGAAAAAGAGGAACAAGAACGATTAGAAAAATTAAAAGCAAAGGAAGAGGAGAGAAGAAAAAAACAAGAACTTGTAGAGTAAGTGAAAACTGTCGCAATATTAGTGTATGTTCTACTATAAATGCATTAATTATTCACTGGGTTTTAATTTTGCTTTGTAAAACAGCAATGGAAGTCATTGTTTCTCAACCTAGTGAATATACACAAAATATCAAAATAGTGAAAATAAATTGTTCTAAAGCACATACTGAACAGAAACATATGATATAGAGATAGGTAGAAGTTGAATATCTAAATATTTTGAGGTTTTTACATCCCTAAATATTCTTAGCATGTTTGTTTTGACTTTGCATTCAATTGTTTTATATCATATCAAAAGTACCACTATATTTTTTCGGGGTGTTCAAATATAAAATTAAATTGAACCTTGTGATTACAGAATAATTATGTTAAAGTATAGAATGTTAATGCAAATATTTTCTATTTTAGTAATATTTCTAAATTCATGCAGTTCATGCAACCTGATTAAAAATTATATTCACAAAGAAACATACGGTAGTCAACAAATCAACTGTCTCTGGGCAACATCTCCACTGTTTTTAAGAACAGCTTAGTCAATAATTTGTATATGGACAATGTCTCATGATATTCAGCCATATTTTCGCGAGTTATATGGATAAAAGAAAAATTGAAGTAGAAAAAAAGTGTATCCTGTATTTGATTTTTTACCATTCCATAAAATTGAAAATCGAAACAAAACATTGAAGGGATAGTAGTATATTCTCGAATAAACTGATAAGAAGATTAGCAGTTTTCATGTCTTTATTTTGACACTGGCTGAACTAGCTTGCATTGTAATTGGCAGACCCACTGCAACATTCAAACCTGTCTGTCTATGTTTCGTATCATAAAGATATATTCAATTATCTAGTTTTAGCGAATATTTCTCTAATTTTTGAAAAAATATTATATAAAATAATATTTTTGACTTATTAAAAGCTACCAGCTTAATTGCTTTGATACTTGCCATGAGTCGTGAGGTTTGTGATAGGACAGAGGTATTTCAACTGTTTGTTGAGTTAATTAAATCTTTAGTCAGTGGTAACATGATTGTGTTTAAAGATATCAATGAAGAGAAAGTGTTGGAAACAGATTCCTAAAGAAATAAAAAGTTTAACTATACCATAATTATCTGGGTAAGAGCCGATGCCCTGGCAAATGCCCACCCCTCAATTTTGATGCAATAAAGAAATTTAGGTCATATGTAATAAAAAAAAAAACTAAAAAAAGAAATGTTTTTTGTTGGTTGTATTAACAGTTGACTTCTTTGCAGTCTGTTGTGATTCTGATAAAAATTCTTGTCAATTGTCAAAATAATTGTCAATTGCAGCTCGTTCACCTTTGTTTACGTAATTTACCGTTAAAATCCCAATATAAATTGCAGTTTATATTACAATGTATCAATTTTAAAATTGGGATCAAAAGCTCAAGTTCGGGTGCAGTTTCTATTACGTAAATATTGCTATCATTAAATGGACGTGGTCATTTTTTCCCACAAAACAAGCAATACAATCTCTTAAATAGACGTCACTCTAATCAGGGAAGAGTTGCGAATTTGCAGGGAATGTTCGGCATAGGCCCACCCTATTCTTTGGCAATTTTCCATATTTAAGACCCTGGGCTCTTATCCAGATAAATACGGTAGTTTCGGTATTTTTTGTCAATAACTTGTTGACTGTTAATGATTGGTTGAATTGCTAGAGGTTATAAAAAAAAAACTTTAACAACAATGGGCTAAAAAAATCAATTAATACAATGATTGTTATTTTGTGGATTGGTCAGGCAGGCTGCAACAGGGTGGTTTTTCAAGCCCAAATGAATTCCTAAACTTCTGCATTCTTTATCTGTAGTGCCAAAACTGAGGAAAAAAGAAAAAAAGAGGATGATAGGAAGAAACAGGAAGATGAAAAAAAGAAAATCGAAGAAGAGAAGGTGCATATTTTTAGTCCCTGAAATTCACTACGTTCAATTACCCATCATAGACTCCGGTCAGTCAAAATGACTATTTTGAACTGTAGGCATTAATCAGCGATTCTGCCGGTGACGGAGAGATAGAATCCAGGTCAGGGGAAACCCCATGACCTCAAGATTCTTTTACCTTTTACGTCACGAATCCACGTGACCAAGGCCACCTAGCAGCGCCACGGTAGTCCATCACTCTGAATTTCTCTCCGCCTCGAGTGGAGATGAAATCTAGCGAGCTCTGCTGGATCGCCTGCTTTTTTTTTCCTGTCTGGATTTATAGCTTGGGTTGTTGCCGCTGCACGGCATCCGACATTGTAGCTGGTAGGATAAGTTTTCCTTGTCATTTTTACTCTCGTGTCATTTTCCCCTTTGTGTGTAGTATTTTTCACAACAAAGAAACTAAAATCCGGTGCCACTACGTAACCAGTTGGTTTTCATGGCGGCACCTTTTACAACTGTAAATTGTTTCCCTCATGCATGTCGTCTTTTATTTTTAATGTATTTAGAAATATATAGATGTAATGACAGCACCAGGGCTCGCTGCCGTTTTCTTTCCGGTCTCCTCGTGTTTCGATTCGACCGTGCAGTGGTTATATTCAGAATCTACCAGCATAGAACCTGCATCCGAGATACTTTGTCGTAGCTACGTGCGGGTTTCGGGGTTTTTGCGTGAAAGCGTGTTTTTTTCACTGGAGTTCTGAGGCCCGAGATTTTCTGTCAGAGCCATGAAAATCGCTTAGACTGACCGCGTCACAGCAAGGTCGCGCGTCCAGTCAACAAATCGGTTAAAGTGAGTTGCGTGTTTTGCATGAGTGGAAAGTCCTTACGCTCGGCTACCGGTACTTCATGTACCGGGACGTCGAGTAAGAGGCCCGACAGTGGAGGTACCGATATTTTTCTCGGTCCCCCGCTGATCGGAGGGCATCCTCACAGTCTGTTTTTTCAGGCGGTGTTTTACCCGATTTTACCGGTTGTAGCGAGGCTGTGCCCCTGGAGGCTTTCCTCCTATGGGGCCCGTTGCGGGTCTCTTTGTGGACCCTTCCTCGCACGGCGCCGGGTTTGCCTCCGACTTGATGGCTTTGGTCGAAGGACTGTCGGGGCAATTGCGTCCCCTCGGTGGGCAAGCAGGAAGAGACACGAAAGCATGTTTGCATTCAAACACGTCTCTTCCGGGGAACTATTTTGGGGGGTGGCCGAGGCTCAGGCTAATTGCACCGGTCCTTCTCTGGATCCTCGGGCACTGAATGCCAACGGGGTGCTGGCAGCCAAGTCTCCGATCTCGGGGCAGGGCTTTCAGGGCAGGGCACACGTTGACACCCCCCACTTTCAGCCAGCTAGGGTTCATCACGCGGTAATGGTACAACGGTAACGAATTTATCCTTGTGTCTGGTCGCCGCTGTGGGTTTTGACTCCTTTCTTACCGACCCACAGGCGTCCCCAGAGGCAACCTACCCTGTCATGAGACGCACAGTCGAACACGCTCCCTCTCACATATTTAAAGTGAAAGGAGACGCAGTTCGCTCGCGTCAGATACAGCCGGTACTCAGGGCGGTCGCCTCAGAGTTTTCCATCTGTATGACTCGGTGAGCCATGCTTTTGGGGTGAGGCGGAGTATCATCGATCCCAGTGATACGATGTATATACCCCCACCCTTGATCCTAAAGCAACCACCTAAGGTTGCTTCAACGCTTATGGGATCACGGGCGTCTGGATCCAAAGCAACCCCGTCGGCACGTCTCTCCCTGTCCGCCTGAGTGCGGAGTGGGGCGCAGAGCACGTAAACGATGTTGATGAGCGGCGTTGGTCAGCCGAGGAGGATGTAATGCTTAAGGCCCCCGGGTGGGGGTAACATTTGGCAACACTTCCCACTGGACCAAATGCTACCCGGTCGGTGTGGTTTCGGGATCAGACCCCATAGCGTGGGATGAGACCAAAACGCCCCCAACCGGATTCCAAGGCTCCTTCGCCCAGACCCCGGTACAACGAATTTGGCAAACAGGGCAAAGGGGGATAGCACGTGAGTGAGTGGCCAGGTCACAACTTAGTGACTACTTCAGGCCTTGGGGAACTCACCTCATTGGGGAAGGGAGCACCCCTCCTTGCAACTGCCGAACACATGGCCACATATCCCTGTCATACACAGATTGCGCCGGTGTAGTCCGGTTCGGAGACAGCGGGTGACCGATCCCTGGACCTATTCAGGTGGTGCCATCCGTTTACGGGATACCGCTGAAATCTCCATTTCCCCCCGTCAGTGTCTCCCCTGTTGGGCACTGCCAGGGGACTCCTGCAAGGCGGAAGCAATCAGACAGGAAGTAGCAGTTTGCTGGGGAAAGACGCCATGCACAGGGTACATCAGCCGGAACTAAGGCCAGGCTTCTACCCAAATGTGTTCGTAGTACCAAATCTACAAGTGGCAGGCGTCCAGTTTTGCACCTAGGCAAACTGAATCAGTACGTACTCCTCGATCGGTTCCACATGGTGACACCATTCAGGGTTCTTCTCTCCATCCACCATTTTGACTGGCTAGCCCTGCTAGACTTAAGCGGGGCCTACCTGCACGTACCGATGCACCCAGCGAGTTGCCATCTCCTTCGAATCGCCCAGCTGGGCCAAGTATTCAAATTTTGGGTGCCCCCTGTTCGGGTTAGGCACAGCGCCCTACGTGTTCACCAGAATGATGAAACAGGTAGTGCTGCTGCTTCACCAGATGTCAGTACGTCTCAATCCGTACCCAGACTTCTGGTTACCAACAACCCGGGCAAGGGGTAATAGCCAAACGCGTCAGGCTAATACGGGATTTACTTCACCAGTTGGGCTCGTTAGTAAATCGACAAGTCCCACCTCGACCCAACGTGCAGTTGGTGTCCCTGGGCGTGAAGTTTTGACACAGAGGTAAGCTTGCTTAGCTATTTCAAGCGTATTGCTTAGCGCTAAGCAGCCTAGCCGAATGCCTAGTCAGCATTCCCTTGGTGTCCCTCCGTGAACTAATGTGTTTAATCAAAATGATGACCCCGGTTCAAAGGGTCGTTCACCAGGCCGCACTACGCAGCCGCCCGGTATAACGCTTGTTATAACGCCAAGCTCTCCTATGGGAACTAGATAGGCGGGTTTCGATCTCGGACCAAGTGAAGGAAGCCCTGCCCTGGTGGTCGTCACTGGCCAACCTCGGACAGGGGAGCCCCTTGGCCCGCTCACCGCAGGTATGACTCTGGTAACAAATACCTCCCCCCAGGGTTGGGGAGCGCATCTATTGGGCCAACAAGCCCAAGAATATGGCCCCCGCATTAGTTTCGGGACTACCATATCAACCGGCTCGAACTGAGAGCAGTGTACTTAGCACTACCACGCTTTCTACCCGTAGTTTGAGACCACTGAGTCCTGCTCCGCACAGGCAATGCAGCGGTGGTCTCCATCAAGAAGGAGGGGGGGACGCATTCCCCATCGTTGTCAGTCCTAGCGGAGCAAAATCCTCATTTGGTGCCTGGAATACAATGTGGAGCTAACTGCACACCTTCCAGGGATGAAGAGCAGTCTGGCGACACCCTTTCAGGGCGGCTCAGTCTCCAGAACACCGAGTGGCTGATACCCCAGTGGGTATCCTCCAGGCGGTTTCGGCCGTGGGACGGTCCAAGGTTGGACCGTTTTGTTGCACCCCGGAACGCCAAGCTCTCACGTACGTAACACTCCTGCTGACTCCTGGGCCAGGGTCGCTTTGCTAGCCCCGTGGACCCACTTAGTTGTGTACACCTTTGACAGGTGCACACCCGCATATTATCATGGGTTACACCCAATTGGCCAAGCAAGGCCTAGTTTCCACTTCTGTTGGAAATGCTAGTCGAAGCGCCAGCAGTGCTTCCGGACTTACCGGACCTGCCGTCCCAACCAGACGGCGCACTACCAACGAGCCCAGCAGGTATCACTTACACGCATAGAGGCACTCAGTAAATCCGCACATACAAAAGCCTTATCTGAGCGGGCTGTCAACGTCCCGGCCAGGGCGAACAGGGATTCCACCAATGTGACCTACATTTCTAGGCTGCAAGCATACACTGATTGGTGTTGCGAAAGGGAGATTGATCAATACCATCTCTCTATTGGCCAGGTAGCAGGCTTCTTTGTCCACCTGTTTGACGAAGTGGCTTTGTCCTACGCAGCGAGCGTCCTATTATTAGGAGACTATTTACTGCTTTCCAGACGCCAAGACCCCATACAAGGGAGCCGCCCAACTGGGACTAGTCGGCTGTGTTGTCTGCTCTAAGCAGACCGCCCTTTGAGCCTCTCCAATCAGCACCACTCAAATTTTTGACGTGGAAAATAGTCTTCCTACTGGCCCTTGCCTCAGGAAGGCGCCGGTCAGAGCTAGACGCGCACTGTCCTTCGCGGACGGTTGTGCCGCGTTTATGGACGATCAAGTTGTACTAAAGACACGAATCGGGTTTCTCAGGAGGCAACAGTACTGTTGACTTCTCCCTTCACTGGACACTTATTTAAGTTGATTTGCAAACAAACAGAGCTTGCAACATGATTAGCTATTCATAAAAGATGTTTTTTTTTACTTTTCATATAATACAGTAGTCACACAATGAGGCAGTTCATATTTGTCTCAGTGTATCATTAATTTTTTACAGACACCTGTACAAAATGCTTGGACAAAAGCCAGGCAGGAAACTCAATGGCTTTCTTGATTTTTATGTTGGGCAACATAAACACCTGCAAAACATAATATATAACATGTCATTTGTAAATATACCTTTATTTTCTCATAGATAAAAAAGGAGCAGAAGGTTAAGAACTCTTTTAAAAGTTTTTTCAGTAAAGTTGAGTCAACACCGAAACCAACTCAGGTCAAATCTCTGGGTCCATTCATGGTTTTTCAACAGAAGAAGGACATGGTACTTGCACCTAGGTGCCGAACAGATTCTTTTCATGGTGATCGTATGAAAGAGTTTGATAGACACTTTGCAGAGCAGGTCAGTTGAGTATTTTATCTAGTGAAAAGATTCAGTTTTAAAGATTGGGTTTGTTTTTAAACATCAATGTATTGTGGATGCCATGACATGCCATGAAAGAATTTTACAATAAGGTGTATTAATGAAAGATTAAATAGAACATTTGCAAATATTTGCAAGATTTGATGACGTGATACTAAACAATTTACGCCACAAAAAAAAACTAAAAAGATGTACCGCTCTTTTTCGCTCTTGTCTCTTGTAGTCTTTTACGCATGCTATTGATAAAATGATAAAGAACTGTTGTTTTTAGGAACTTCGGAAGAACACGCCAAAACGTCAGGCTCGAGTAATCTCCACGACGGAGAGTCCACTTACCTTTTCTCCCCGTAAACCGTCTTCTCCTTTGGTTCCCTGTTGAGAAAATTAGGTAAAGTTTGAACTTTATAGCTCTATAAGTTCGTCATTTTCAAACTACGATTGATCTGTTAACTCATTGATGGTTCTCATTTTTACGTCTCTTTTCTTGTGGAGGTATGATGACACATATCAAAGGACAAAACCTGTCATAAGGCCTAAAAAAAAAGTGGTGTGTTTCCGGTAACCCGACCCTACCTAAAAATACGTCCTGATCCTAATTTTTTTTTCAACATATACAAGATTTTAATTTATTACACAGTTTAAATTTTAAAAAAAACTTGCTATTTGATGATGACGTTTCGTCTCGTCCCGACTTCCGATGGTGTTTGGAAATGTGTGGTCGATGATGCGTCTTTTAGCCAATCAGCGATCGCATACCACATCACGTGCCACCATTTTACCTATTTTTAGATTCCAAAATGGCCGCCTCCAGTGCAAGTGCGGCCTTCGTTTGTGCGTTAAAA